CTAGGAAATGTAGGAAAGCTATGATTTCCTGTATTTGATGCAGAATTTTTTTGTTTTTGTAATAATACACAATAAATAGCAATAGCATGCACGTGGTGCGTGTGTAGTTGCCTGCCTCTTATAACTCCAGTGATTTTCCTGCAGTTTGACATCTCGTGCGATCTTGTGAATTTCATGAGTTCAGCAACTAACCACTCTTACTAGATTGTATCATATAATGTCAACAAGAACAAATTAAGTTGTTGAATTTCGTACAGATTCTTCATGATTTAATTACGTTCATAGAAACATGAAATTATTGTGTTCAAATTACAAGTTAGACTTTTTTAATGTAACAACCACCCAATTTATTTTTTTGGTATACCAAACAAAGTAGAGGTGGCTGCTCGACTTGACTGAGATGGATGCCTTCCTGAAACCACGATCTAAAGAGCGCGAGTCTGAAACCCGTGCAGTGTCACGGGATTTAACATTGATATATTATTGACTTACTTCACTTGAACATGATATGAACAATTTAATCTAGCCTCTCTGCATATCATGTAGTTTCTACACTATGTAGTTACACTTAACTTTAAAGCACGAGGCAATTGTGTTAAATACACGCAAGATGCTTACGTAAATACAAGAGTTGGCCAATCCCTTTTTTTCAGTGTGGGGAAAAGGAGGACACATTTGCCGTTACTCTCATTCCCTTTTATTTGGTATTCCAACTCTGTAACATGCAACTTCTGTCGGTGCTATGCTACTGGAAACTGAATTTCCTAGAGAAACCCACCCGAGGGATTAATGAAGTGTCATCTAATCTAATCTCATCTCATCTCATCCCTTCTTGCACCAAGATGCCAGGTTCTTTCATTATCCCTCATTCACAGCAGCAAATGCAGAAGCAAGTGTAGCTGTTGCTGTTCTGTGAGTCTATGGTGCATGTGGTGTGATATGTCCATGTAGAAAGGACGGCACTGTGACGCTGGACTTGCCCTTACTCTGGGCTCCCTCTTTATTCTGGCAACTGGTACAAAGAAAACAGCACGCAGTCGTCATCAACAGTGTGAAAAGCAACTGCAACATTCAGTTCACCAGCTTGGGAGTATTTTCCTTTTTTTTCCAAACATAACACTTAACAAAAGACTAATATATATTTTTCCAACACAACATCGATAAAGTCTTTCTTTAAAAGTTCTAGCTGAAACCAAACCTGTGATCATAAAGTGGCCGTATTATTTATTTATTTTTCTCCTTATGGTAACTAAGAGATGAGAGACATTATATCTCCTTTTTCCTAACCAACAACAACAATAAAAAGAGCTTTTCTCTTATAAAACAAAATCATTCTTCATCATTTTTTTATACAACATCAACTAAAACTTGTACTTAACAGTGCCTTCCTGGTACAAAGAAAACAGCATACAGTCGCCATCAACAGTGTGAAAAGCAACTGCAACATTCATTTCTGTTAACAAGAATTAGAACTTGTAGGGCCCTTCAATTGACCCGTCACCCCACTAGGAAAATGATGGTATGACGGTATGACAGATTACCAGTCCAGCCCTGTGGGGATTACACATTCTTCCCTAGCAGCTGGTGACTGTATCGAATTCACTATAGTAGACAGCTCTTCAGCAATGTAATCATGACATCTTGTGAGAAACCATGATACTGTCACGTCATGACATGAATGTCAAAGTCAATAAAAATCATCCAAGTCAACCAAGAAAATCTTTGATACTTGACATCAAAGGCAAAATATGGGCAAGATTGTATTTGGTGCTTAGTTCCCACATTATCCTTATTACTATTATTAGCTAAAGCCACTAGCCACTACCTTAATAATGGCTGAACAGATGGCCAATGTGCCTTCACATAATGTTATTTTATGGTGCTGCCCTTATTTCCACAGGGTTTCCTCAGTGGATGGATTCTTGTGCTTGATTTGGCAAAGATATACTCCCAGATGCACCCCCTTACGCAACCCTCTAAACTTTCCTGGTGACCCACTGGGTAAAATGGTAAATGGCCTGTATTTGTATAGTGCCTTACTTAGTCCCTAAGGACCCCAAAGCGCTTTACACTACATTCAGTCATTCACACACTGGTGATGGCAAGCTACATTGTAGCCACAGCTGCCCTGGGGCACACTGACAGAGGAGAGGCTGCCGGACACTGGCGCCACCGGGCCCTCTGACCACCACCAGTAGGCAACGGGTGAAGTGTCTTGCTCAAGGACACAACGACCGAGACTGTCGGAGCCGGTGCTCGAACGGCAACCTTCTGATGACAAGACGAACTGCCGACTCTTGAGCCACGATCGCCCCTGCTAATTGCTAATAATAAAGCAACTGACAGTAACGTATGTGCCAGCCAGGTTAACACTTGTAAAAGTAGTTGTTGCATCACTCCTCCCAAAGTGTTGTTCAGTGTAAACATCCTCTACTTCAGCTATTAGTGAGGGGAGGCGATGTCTGCCTGTCTGTAGCACTGCTGTGTAAAGTTGTGTGTGAGCAGGTGTATTGGTACTGACACTGTTGCAAATAAGTATCTAATCCAATAGTAATTTTTAGTAGAAATTAGTAATGAACCCTGTACTATACAGAGGAAAGAGATCTCAAGGTTCTCCCAGCAAGAAGACATATTTCCCAAGGACTCTTTAAAAATCGCCTTAATAAAACAGAACTTATTATTTAAGTTTAAAAAGTCAAGAAAAAACAAAGACATAAAATTAAGGTTTGTGTGGCTGTTTAAACTGTTTAGTTTTGAAATCATACTACTTTCACTTCACTTATTTCACAGTCATAGTAACCATGAAACATTTTTAACACATAAAGAGTTTCACTTTAACAAGTCTACAAGGTGCTGTTCTACCTGCCGTTGGTGGCTTACATGTTAAGTAACTTGATAAAGAGTACAAAGGGGATTGAAAAACTCACATACTCATAGTGGCTGTTTCATTCTCAGATATGAAATGTCAAAGCATGTGACCAACCATATCACTAAGTTACTGTCATCAGTAAAAAAAAACCCTAAAAAAAAACCCAATGTGCTTAGCTTCTTCTTTTCTTTGAACTCTCTTTCATAAGTCACACTAGATGATAGATATAAAGAAGTGTTATATAGGGCAAAGGTAAAGCCTGAATTATCTTACAGACATGGAAATGACAGAACACTGAACACACCCGGACTGGTAGGTTATTAATGTCACTTATTTTTATTTTATTATATTTTAGTTTAATAGGCAGGCAGTCTAAGAGCAAACTGCTCTATTGGGATGAAACAGAGGTCTTAAAGATAAGCTGGGGCCTGATTATTAATGACTTTGTATGTGAGGAGAATAATTTTAAATTATATTCTAGATTTAACAGGGAGGCAATAAAAGAACCAATATGGGAAAAAATATGCTCTCTCCTTCACTGTTGGTGTTTTAGGAAGTTGTTAAGACAACTTGATAATAATGAATTACAGCTCATTATTATCAAAAGTATTGCTTGTAATTTCACCTCTGCACATCAGACAATCAATATGTGCTTGGAGTGCAGACTTTCAGCTTTATTTCAAAATTCAAAGCAAAAGTTTTGTATCTGTTTATTATCTGATATTAAAGACATTTCTATACATCACCCAATGCTGTGTGTCCTCCACTGAGATGCTCTGCTAGGTCTTTACTGTTTGTGGGTCTCTTTGTCTTCAGTTTTATCTTCAGTAACTTAAAAGCATGCTGTATGCAGTCCTTGGAGAATATCCTTTCTTTATTTGAGAAACTCTTGGGTTGTTATGCTTTTGCATCCATTATCTATTTGCATTATGAAGTGCTGGCCAGCCAATTCTGCAGCATTTGGCTGATTCTGAGCTGAGAGTATAAACCTGTACACTTCAGAATTTGTCCTTGCTATATCTATCAGCAGTGGCATCTTCACAGTGGCCCTGACCTCATGAGCTGTATCTTCCCTTCTGCATACGTTTGTCTCGTCATCCTTCTGGTACAAGTCCATCTTGGTTTCTCCTAGAGTCGTCTTCTCCTTCTTTCAGCTGTTTGGTTTAGAAATCATTACAGTGGATCATTGGCCTCCATTTCACCCTGCCCCGAGCACCCAGACTGTCTGGATGTTAGGACTCTTTTCTTCCTGTCTTCTTGTTTTTCTGCCTTGCAGCTCCATCTTCAACATCCACTCTCAAATATCCCTCCTCTGCACGTATGCAAACCATCTCAGCCTAACCTCACTAACATTGTCTCCAAACTGCTTAAGCTGAGCTGTCCCTCTGATGTTCTCATGTCTAGTCTCATTCTTCTGGTCACTCACATTGAAACCTTAAGATCTTCAATTCTGCTACTTGTTAGTGCTACCATCTCCAAACACACATACACACATAAACCATACATACCAACTACCAACTTGTAAACCTTGCCTTTCACTCTAGCTATATGTTTGTCACAAATCCCTTCTGACACTTGTCTCCACCCTGCCTGATCCCAATTATTTAAACTTATCCACCTTCACTATCTCCACTCCTTGCACATGTCTCTCTCTCATTCACATGCATTTATTCTGTTTTGCTTCTACTGACTTGCAGTCCTCTATCTGACACCAGTAGAGCTGTTTTTCAGCAGGAGACTCACTGCTCCTCACTGATAAGCTCTTTCCTATAACTTCATGGTATGGATCCTCGGCTTTATCATTCTGTAGTTGTTAAGCTTTAGACAACACTGTCATACTTGAAAATTACCTCAGACATCCTCTCATTGTCCAGGATTGTGTTTAACAATGTGATCAGCCATTTCCTCCTTACTAATCATCTGCACTTACTGATTCACTAACTCTCTCTAGATCCTTTATCACCTGTTTGAAGCTGTGGCCTCAGATGCCTTTCAACCACTCATGTAAAGAAAAAACACCTAATAAGGAAGGAAGGAAGAGAAAGCAGACTTTCTGGGTAGTGAATGACGTTTTGTGTTTGTTTTTTTTATCAGTGGAAAGAAAATTGTTTTCTGTGAAGAGACGAGGGTTAGGATGTGGTTTGAGCCTTTAGTGTGTATTTGTGGTTATCGTGCTTCTGACTCAGTGAGGCAAAAAGAAAGCGATAAGAGGGTCATCTTTCTCACTTTTTTCTTGTAATGCGTTAGGGGAAGTCCAAAAGTCAGAAGACGATATAAATAAAGAGAACATACGCTTCACAGCTCTGTGAAAATGATAAGAATGAGTTAGAACACAAAGATACTTTTTTTAAATGTCATGGTCAATCATCATGACGCTGCTGGGCTAATGAAATTTGCTTCAGCTGTCGTTTTCTTGCATTTATATTTAATGCACCATGTTATTAGTAATCTGCAGGCACTTTACAGGTCACACACTTACCTGGCCAACTCATCTGCATCAATCATCTGATGTAGACTAAAGAATGAAAAGACACGCAGTGAGAAACCACAAACAGTGGGAAGGTTGGTGTGACAGTAATCAGAAACATGTTTCTGGAGCTGGAGACACTTACAAACAGGTACAGAGTGAGGAAGAAGCCATACTACAGGAAAGCGAAGCCACACAATGATCACAGATGGGATCACAGAAATGCATGGGAGGAGAAAGAAAGGAGAGCGGAAGGAAGGTGAAGTGCATCATGGAAGATCTAGCTGAAAGAAGGCAGTGCCAAAGACTTGATCTGAGGATATGTTGGAATTAAAAATAAATACGATTGTCCGGGGGTAATCACAATGAGAGTACTTGAGGCAGAGGTTATACTAAATTTAGAGCTATATAAATCTAGATTTATATTATTTATATTATATTTAGCTCAGTATTGTCTGAATTATTTAGACAATTATGACTTTAAGATGTGCTTAAATTGGACTAAATGAACATTTTGTCTGGCCTCATAGATAAATATAGCTGGGCTCTGACATCACAGCAATGAAAATGCATGCAGTACTTTAGTGATATTGTTGAAGTTAAGCATGAATAAAGATGAGTGTCAGCACAGAACCTCGTGAAACCCCATGATGAACTTTTTGTGTTTAAGTTCTATGAAACAACTGGAATCTGTCTGAAAGGTTTAAATGCAGAGGATTTCAGTACAGGAATAAACAAAGAGCTGCTTCACATCAACACTATGTGACATGTTTCAACCATTGGGTAGATTTGGCAGAATAAAAGTTCAGCTTCTATACCAACACTGAGGAGCAACAGTGCATTAATGCTGTCAGGTAGGTTTATGTGGTCAGAACAATTGCATGTGCATCGACCAGATAATAAAGCAAATATAAGCAGCATTGGGTCTCTTCTATTTTTTATCTCTTGTTTTTTTCTTATTCTGTACAGTTTCAGAGCTTTTATCTTGTTAAAGTACTGAATGCCACGTTGTCACCTTGAGCACCCATGAGCGCTCACTACAGAGCCTCCCAGTTTGCATGAAACTTTGATATTTATAACAGTAGATCAGGAAGGAAGTGCACCTGTTACAGAAACCATAAACTGCTTTGAAACATTTTTGTGAGTTGCAGCACACAACTGAAAGCTTTGAAAGCTCATTTTAAGAGGATCAGTCAGCATGATTTCCTCTTTCACACCTTTTATATCAACTTGAAAAGCTTTGAGCAGGAAGTGAACCTGTCAGATTAATGGAACATTTGAGTTCTCAAAAAGATCCACAGTTTTTGTTCTATAGAAGATGTGATCTGAAGATCTTCTTTATGAGTCTGGCTCTATGTTTGGGGCAAAGCTGGAGTATCTAATGTGACGTGATATTTATTATGTGAATGAGAATCTAAACCGACTTCAGTACTATGGTGTTTAAACTTAATATGTTTGTATTGAACACTATGAAAAGAAAAGTTTGTTTGAAATGTGTTCTTGCAAAGATAAAATGCTTAAAGTCAGTTAATGCATAATGTGAAGACATTAGGTGAGGATGTGGGTGTTTGTGGGACAGCTTGCTCTTGGCTGCAAAACCACAAAAAGCACAAATCCACACAAACACACAGTTTAAATGTCAATGTGGTCCACATGCAAAGGGAGCTACTGCTAATACTTATAAATAGTGCAGTGTGTGTGTGTGTGTGTGTGTGTGTGGTCAGAAATACAACAGGGTGGGGGAACTGACAGGCTGTACTAAAGTCAAGGAAGATGAAAAACTGAAGCAACAACCCAGAACAGCCAGTTTCCACCTGATACTGCATGCTTGAAGTTATCAGCTCAGAGTTATACAGACAGGTGCACTGCAGGTACTGTTATATACAATCGTTTATAAGTTGAAGAATCAGATTAGATGAAACTAAAGGGTTACAAGGCTTCAAGTGAAACACTCAGAAGCTCAAATGTTCGTCAGAAGAGCTCTGTGGGTTGTGATCGAGAGATGATCTAGATTTGTGGCTGTAGTTCTGGCAGTGACCTCACAGAATTCACCTGCTGTTTTCGTCTTGTCAGTTTAGTTGGTTACATTTGATACGTAAACAAAGTAACACCCTCATGTGATGCTCTTTGACAGGATATCGGGTGAAATTAAGTCAGCAGTTGGAAGCAGATCAGTTGCAGCTCAGCCAGCAGGTAAGTGTCACTGACTGAAGTCCTTTAATGTACAGCTATTATTATTTTTATAAGACAATTGTATTATTACAATTACAATATTAAAAATGTTTTACTGAATGTTGTTCAGTTTACGATTAAGTGCCAATTTCTTTTGTGTAAGAAAACATCCAGGAGATCAGGTTGTTGTTATTTATGTATCAGTTTTATTTGATTTGACATGGTGGAGCAGATCAAACCAAGTGAACACAAACCGAGCAGCCAACAGTTTGTGAGGCTGTGGTAGAGACGCATGTCTGAAAGAAAAGACCACAAATGCAACAGCAATGGAAACATTAATTTTTGAAGCGCTTCATGTAAATTATGATTTCAATTCAATTTCATTTTATGTAGATGTCTCCAAACCACAATAACAGTTGCTGAACAGCACTTTGTGTTGTATATGTATTGACTGTTTGGAGAAATAAAACTGTGTCGTCTCTAATCATGTTGCTAACATGGTAACATTTTATTTCATGTGGTTACCTTTGCAGGATGAGAAGAATCAGAAAGCAGTCAGTCAATACCTAAAGCAACTACAGTCCTTCAAGTCTTCCAGTCACAGTCACGAGTCACCATCCCAGCAGCCTCTAAGAAAGAAAACTGTCGACTTAATGGAGAGAAATAAGAAAAGCCTTTCCCTGTTTATTCTGCTGCCTCTGCTGTTGCTCTGCACAAGTGATGAGTGTCCCAGGCTTCCAGAGAGTTAGTCTTTATTCCTCTTTATTCATGTTTAACTGATTTTAAGATCTGTTGTTTGACATATTTACTCATTCTCATCCCATCTCTCCTGTTTTAATTCTCACAGATCTCACTTGCTACACTGACTACAATAGAAACATCACATGTTTGTGGAACAGCACTGATGAGGCTGCATGCACCATACATGCTCAGTATAAATCTCAACGCCTGTAAGGAGCTCAATCACAAAGAGAAAAGCTCAACACATAATACTCACAATATATAAATCACACCTGTCATCATGTGCACCACAAAGAGAATAATACTGTTTTTTCTCAGTTCTTACAGCGCTTCCTGTGACCTAAAGTCTGTAGACATCTCCAGAGCAGCCCTAAAGAAGTGCTCCCTGATCTTTAACGACACATACACTGTGAGTGTGTGAAAAAATCTATTGTTTTCAAGCCCAAGATATACAATCATATATCCTATATCTCAGTTTGTAGTTTAATTAGAAAGAAGAGCTAATATTCTAAGGAAAGCTTAGGGGCAGTCATTGCATTCTTCCAAGTAGTTAGTTATCTGTCATTTAACAAAATCAAGCTTTTATTAAGCCCCTGATAGGTTTGTAGCTTGAACCCATCCGCTGGAACGTTGAAGGCAATATAATTACACTGCAAAGCAAGACACAAGTAGGCAAGCTTCTTCATGTTTCTCGTGCACGGGAGAGAACCGGACA